AGTATCTGGGAAGCTGAGATAGGCATTCAAAGCCATAAGTTCCAGGCCAGCCTGAACTATACAGTGCAACCCTATCTCAAAAAAAAAAAAAAAAAAAAAAAAAACTAAGAGACTTCATAGTCTTGTTATTTTTTGTCTCCAGTGAAGAGTGGAAGTTATAGCAACGTGCTTAGAAAATGTGCTCCAGTCACACCAGAGAATGCAGCGAGTCTTAGGCCAACAGGGCATGTGCCAGCGCTGCAGGGGTTTGTGCTGTCTCAACCCGCTTAGTTTCCTCTTTGGCACTCGTGGTGTCCCGCCTTTGGCATGAAGCATGTGCGGGTGGCTCCCGAGCCCCTGGCAGGCCCCAGAGCCTTGCACGCTCACTGGCTGGTGTGAAGGTGCAGGGGCTCCTGGGAACTTCCTGCTGGAGATGGTGGTGGCTGGCACTGCAGCAGACACATGCCACTGAAAAACTGCTTGTTTATCTCAGGTTCAAATCGGACTGGTACTCATTTCTATTTGCTGGTTAGCAACCTGACCTAGAATCAGCCACGTCTTAAGAGTCCTGGATCACACTAAAAAGGAGGAAGTGATACTTGTTAATTTTTCTTATTTATTTTTGTGGTACTAGGAACTGAATCCAGGACTTCACACTTGCTCTGCCACTGAGCTACATCCCAGTCATTTAAAAAAAAAAAAAAAAAGATACTGATAGTTTTTTGAGTTTTTGAGACAGGATCTCATCATATAGCCCAGGCTTAAACTCTTGATCCTCCTGCCTTGGCCTCCCAAGAGCTGGAATTACAGGCATGTGGCTCACACCAGTCTTTCCAAAGTTTTACTCTGCAACATCTCAGACTGCTGGCTCAAAAGTGGAAAAGGATGTAGATCACTTCTGGGTGTCTTGGACACTCCCAGCGGCTGATTTACAGCTTACAGTCTCAAGTATAAGCACACAATGAAGGTAGCTACTACCAGAGAAAAGAAAGAGCAAAGTCCCAAAGAAAACAGACCAGCTCCAAAAAAGCAAGCTGCACTAACATACACCATCAGACTAACTCAGCCTGACGGATCATGAATTGTTTTATTTTTTTGTTTTGGTCTTTTTGAGACAGGATCTCTATGCAGTTCAGGCTGGTCTTGAGCTCACTTTGTAGCCCAGGCTGGTCTCAAACTAGCAACGATCCTCCTGCCTCAGCCTCCCAGGTGCTGGGATTACTGGCATGCACCACCATGCCCAGCTATGAATAGCATTTTTAAATGAATGGACTAGAATAGGAAATACCTGAGTTAGTTGCTCTCAGGAGGGTTTTATGCAATTTTATTATTAGTAGCAATGTAAAAAATGTAATTTTTTGTTTTGTCTCTTGGTCCAAAAATAATTTGAAGGCCCTCAACCTAAAAATACGCCAAAAAATATGTCAAATACCAAAAGGATCATTGAAGAGAGCTGAAGTTGCCTCTGGAAAAGGTTCTCTGGGGAAGGGGCAGAGAGATATTTTCTCTTTTTTTTTTTTTTTTCCCAGATGTTTTCTCTTAAGACAGGTTGTATGTATTCCAGGCTGACTCAGCCTCCCAAGTGTTGAGATTATAGGAATATAACACCACACTCAGAATGACCTTTTCTTGAATCTTAGTATTAAATCATTAGTTGGGCATGGTAGTGCACACCTGTAATCACAGCACTTGGGAGGCTGAGGCAGGAGGATCCCAGTGAGTTCAAGGCCAGCCTGAACTGCACAGCTAGACCTTGTCTCAAAAAAAACCCCAAAAAACAGAAGTATTAAATCTTTCAGGCATGTACAGGCATAACTTTTATAAAAACAAAACTTTTTAAAATCAAGTTTTGGGGGTGAAACAAATCTCAGCCAATCTCTGTATTTGAGGGACTTCCCCTATAAACCAGAGCCAAGCACAAATCAGATGGGAAAGGAAACAATTCCTGGATGGAACTCGGCACCAAGCCAGAGGTAGCGGGAATCCATTCTTCTAACACACAGCCCCTACCCTACGACCTGCTCCCCACACTGCCACTGGGTGTGCCTGGGAGAGAAGGGAGACACCATGAAAGAGGACGGAGGGCATGTTGGAAAGCAGACCCCACTGATAAGGCAAAGGGACCTGGGACAGCGCGGGGCAGCCTGTCCAGAGAGGAGAGGGCTCGCGAGCAGCATGACCTGAAGGGAGCAAGCATTTGCTGGTGTGGCTACAATGGGCACCAGAACCCCTCCCCAGAGAGCACCCTCGGCCACCAGGTGCCTCATCTACAAGTAGCCTGGTGGGCCCTCACCTGGCTGGCACTCAGCACCATGGGAAGCTGAGGTCAGGGCCACAGCAGCAGTGAGGGTCACTTACTTCTGCCCCTATTCTTTTTTTTTTTTTTGGTCTTTTTGAGACAGGGTCTTGCTATGTAGTTCAGGCTGGCCCTTGAGCTCACTTTGTAGTCCAGGATGGTCTCGAACTCTCAACAATCCTCCTGCCTCAGCCTCCTGAATGTTGGGATTACAGGCTTGGGCCACCATACCCGGCACGCCACTGTAGCCCTGAAGGGACCCAGCTCAATGTCCCCACACCAGACACCATGGGCTCCTGCACTGGGCTACCCAGTTTTGCCGTAGCAGAGGGATGGGGGGCCTACAGCTCAAATGGACAAATGCCTCCAGCACCAGGCCCAGGAACATAGTTCTCCCTATACCCACACTAGTTTCAGTGCCTTTCTGGGGGCACTTGGTAGGCCATGGCTGTCCAGAGGAGTTGGCATCCTCCTCTTGGCCTCCACTCCACACCAGATAGGGAGTGGCGCTTGTTGGCAATAAAGGGTTTGCTCTGTACCGCTGGGCCCCCTGCCACTTGGAGCCTGAGCCAGCAGTGCCTCACCTAGGCTGGGAACATTAAGACACAGCCCTGTGGGCATGGGGGGGCTGAGCTCAGATGGACTCTCAGGGGAAGGCTGGCATGGGCCCTAGACCCCTCACCATCACTGGCCACTGCCACAGGAGGCTTGTGACAGTCAGTGAGATCCCCCCACCCAGAACCATGAAAGGCCGGATATCCCACAAGGCTGGGCTAGGGAGAGGCCCCACATGTAAGAGGGAACAGCCCCGATGGGCTGGAACTGTAGAGATAAAAATAAAACCCCCAAATTGCCAGTAGGGGCCGTGGCTGCGGCAAAAGCTTTTAAGCCACAGCCAGGCAAGCTCTGCACCCTAGGCCCCCTCAAGAGGCAGGGTGGAGGCTGGCAGGCTGGGTGTGCCCAGTTGGGTGTGACCTGCGGAACAGCGATCTGACATTTGGGGCTGATTGTGTGGCATGGGATCCCATGTCTTACAGGGACTCGGCAGCCTTCAGACCTCTACTTTCCAAAAGCATCTCCAGATGTTTTCCAGGGCCAGTGAGGTGCCTCTGCTCTGGAGGGGCTGCGAGGAGGGGCTGGCCTGAGCCCACAGATGGCCTCTGGGCAGCACCTCCAGCCGGTCCCTTGTGGGCGGAGGTAGTCAGCTCTGGAGGCTGGGCTCCAGAGAGCTCAGCTGGACACCCCATTTCTCCCCTGACCAGCAAAGGGCGGGGTGAGCCACAGGGCAGTTCCGCGGCTGGGCTGGGAGGAAATACCGGGAGCAGATGCTCAGCAGTCATGGACACCAGCCAAGGGCGGGCGTATGTGTGATGGGGGAGGCCCTCCTTTGCCTAAGGAGGTTCCACTGCTGAAACCCTGGGCCCAGGACCCCTACCTAGTCCTCTGGGGAATTTCAAATCCAGGAAGGCCCTAAGACCCTGAATGGGAGGCTCTTGGGCAGCTTCCAGACAGCTGTTCTGGTTCCAATGAGGCTCTGGGTCTGCCAGCTTTGACTACTGCCCCCTGGTGGCCACCAGTCAGACCCCTTGCTCCAGCCAACAGACAGGGACCACCTTGCTTTGGAAATCTGCTTATTTCACTAGTCAGGGTAGGCCCCAGGTAGGCAGCAGTGTGGAGTAACAGATATAATGTCTGTTTTATCCTGGGAATTTTAGGGAACTGTGCTCAAATTCCTTGTCCTCCCAAGACCTCCTAAACTGCAGGGATTTAAACCCAAGGCCTGGACATGTTTCTGTGACACAAAACAAGGAGCCCTGGCTGGGGATGTGGCTCTGGAAGAAAGTCTGGTAGAGTCTTGCTTCATGGATGCAAGGCACTGGGTCTGACCACAAAAACAAGAAGTCCTCACAGTGCTGGTGAGAGGCAGACCAGTCCTAACGGATAGGGAATGCAGGCCACTGACGCCCAGAAAATCTAAGTCTGTGTTCTTGTTGCATAACTCAGACATTCGGGCAGGGACATGGAGCAAGACAAAAAGGTCCACACTGTACTCCCGGTACCTGCAGCTCAGCTCCCTCATGCCTTGACAAAGGAACCCAAGGGCCCTCCAGGTCCCAGCTGGTAGAAGTGGTGTACTCCTCTTAGCCCAGGGGAATCTGGAATCACAAGGCTTCTGCCTTAAGATGCGACTCTCGGTTCTTCAGCTACGGGAATAGCATCCCTTCCTCAGTTGGCCCCAATACCGAACCTTCCCAACTACACCCCATTTCTGACGAGCCCCTACCCCCAGTGAGGACCTGGAGAAGTGACAGAGGCTGAGGATCCAACAGTAGGCACTTGGGAGGGTGGGGAGCCATGCCAATGCCCTGCCCCAGGCCGGACCACCTCAGCCAGGAGGGATGGCTCAGATCTGGAGCACGCATAGCGCCAACTGCCATCTCCCCATTCATAAAATATAACCTAGTCACCCCGTCTATCCAGCCTGTCCCTCTATCACCTGTGCACACATTTAGAGCCCCCACCTGGAGGCTGTTCCCAGCTACTCCACAGCACACATTCACCCAGCAAGGCTGTCACCTCCACAGGAACAGCACTGTCAGGATGGACAGTAAGGCCAACTGGGGCGGGGACAGCCACAGGGCCTCTCCTGAGTGCCTGGGCTCTCACAACATAGAGGCTGGCAGCAGCTGCTACCTGAACAGAGCTCACACCAGTGGGACGAGGCTCCAGGTTAGTCCAGGACACTGAGCCCTCCCAGTGTTTATTACAATGGGTCACTAGCAGCATGTGGGGTGCAGAAACAGGACTCCAGGCTCATTTGACCTTCACGTAGATCTTGGGGGTCTGCCAGCCCGCAGGGGCCTCCTTCAGGCCTGCCTTCAGCCAGATGCGCTTCAAGTCTTTCTCGAACTTCATCTGTGAGGACGAAAAGAGTGACATCAACTGACTTTTGGCCAATCCACACACCCGCAGCCGCTCTGTCCGCTCAGACCTCAAGAGGAGCCCCTCACCTGCTTCCGCTTCAAGCGTCCTTCCCGGACCTTGCGCCGCAAGAACCGTGTTCTCTTGACCAGCTTGCGGTACTTGTGGTGGTTCATCTTCCGCCGGCGAATCTTCAGCACATTTTTGCACTGCATCTGTGGTGCATCCCAGGCCCCTTCGTCCACTTGCTTGGTCCCCTCCTCCACTTGGCTAGGTGGACACTCATAGAATTGGCCTGGAGTCACAGTCCCTGGGGCCCCAACATCCAGTCTGGACAAGAGGTAGCGGGCGGTCAGCCAGCTCTCCAGGGGACTAATGGCCATCTTCCTGGGAACCAGCAACTCCTCCAGCTCCAGCTGGGCGCCCTTGCCAGGAAGGGAGGCTGCCCTGCTCAGGCCTGCAGGCTGCAAACTGTGTGGGCGCTGGCAGGCAAGGCTGCCCAGTGCAGCGGAGACAGGCCAGGGCCGACTGCACCCTGCAGGAGGACACAGTAGACACTGTGCTGAATCCACAGTAGACAGAAGCACTGCCACCACCTAGGCTCGGGCAGCTCGTCCACCGAGGGTGAACGACGGGAAGCTGTTCCTGGCCTGCTGGCCCCTTTGTCTGTGGCCAGGACCTGGAGCAAAGTGACCCACATTCCTGACCCAGGCGCGCGCCCGCCCCTCGCGCCTCGTACCTGCCCAGGGGATGGCCCTGGCGAACAGCGAAGTCAGGCGCGCCAGAAACATGGTCGTGGGAGGTGGCAGGAGGGTTACAGCTGGAACACAGATGACGTACGGTCACAAGAGGGGGCGCGGCGCACCACGCGACCCGCGTGCGTCCAACCCGCTCTGCCGGTCCCTTTGAGGACGCGACTCAAACCCGCGCGGCTCGAGCACATAGTCGGGCTCAAATCCCGCCCTAAGCCGGTTTCCCCAGGCACCCGAGCCCGCAGTGCCGGGCGATGCCAACGCCCGGGCACACCGAAGAATTCAGGCCCGGGACGGCGGCCCCCGCCCGGCCTGGCTCCACTCAGCCGCCCGCGACCTCACGGCTCCGGACCCTGGCGACACCACAGCTCAAACTGACCCTACAGCCGCCGTGCTGGGGCACTTCCGGTCCGCCCCCAAACCGGTCCTCTCCGGCGACGGCTTCCGATTAGAAAGGTGCCGGCTGAGACACGGACTGCAGCCTGTCCTCCGGCAGCACTTCGGTTCCGCCTGGTCCCCCACGGAAGCAAGAAACTCGATTTCCCACAGTCCCACGAATGCCCTCCCGCGCGTGGCCGGGAGGACGTAAGTGGCGGCGGGCGGAGGCCGCGCTCAGGGAGGCAAGAGGCCGGAGCCGAAGCTCCCGGGAGCGTCACCCCGACGCCGTTCCCCCGGGGGCAGCGACGAGCTCTGCCGAGGTGGGGACGCAGAAGTGTTGCACGGACACCTGGCGTGGCCCGTGCCCGCCGTGCGGCGCGTGCTGGGATCCCTAGCGACCCCCCCACCCCCCCACCCCCGGCCCAGTTCCTTTGGCTTCCTAACCTACTCTCTCCTTGAATTCGGATAACGGATGCGGGACTACTCCGAGTCAAACCAGCTCCGATAGTACTTGCCTGGCAAGCAAAAATCAGAATCAACCGGGCGTAGTGGCGCACACCTGTAATCCCACCACTCGGGAAGCTGAGGCAGGAGGATCACTGAGAGTTCGAGGCCAGCCTGGGCTACTTAGGGAGACGCTGTCTTAAAAAAAAAAAAGTCAGACTTAAGCTTTAACCTTTGCCGGAAAACAAAGCAGCTGCTGTGGAGGATTGCTTTTGCCCGAACTCTTAATGCTGCTCTTAATGCTGCTCCGCAGGACACTGGCACTTGCTTCTCCCCTTCCCGTCTAATCCAGCAAGGTCTCTTGGCCAGGATGGCGAATCCCACCGTGGCAACACAGGATGCTGGTGGGAGGGGGATGGGGAGAGGGGCTGCAGAGTGGCAGGCAGGGGAGAGACCAGTGGAAGGACAGAAGTTCCGGGCTTTGCAGCTGAGGTCACAAGGTGACGCTGTATCCTACCTCCCAGGGGAACTGCACACGATTTCCAAACAGGAAGGATGTTCTGTGAATTTCCCAGGAAGACACACCTGTGCCTCCAACTAGCAACAGTGCCCACAGACCAAAGCATGAGTGCAGATTGATGAGTGAGTTTACCAGATTACCATGAGAGTGATAGGTCACCTGCAGCTGCGCTACCAAAGCCACACCCCACACTGTTACTGTTTATATAGAGCTGTAAGGAAAACAGCAAAGAGCAATTAAAAAAAAAAAAAAACAAAAAAACAGTCCATGAGCAAAGTTATGTGTATTTCAGATCCCATCCCATCCTTATCAGGAGCTCTGTGGGTCTCAGCAGTGCAGTGGTGGACTCAGTATGCTGCACACAGCTGCATGGCTAGAGCCCACGAGACAGCTAAATAGTCCCCACTACAAAATGGTGTCACTGCGGCTCGATTTGGATGACTGTTCTCCCTGCACAGGTTTATGCACGTTTGACAGCCCACTCCTCACCCCTGCGGCACAGCTTTCCCCAGTAAGAGTTTCGGCACAAAGAGGCAGGAGGGTGCCCTCTACACTCTGTTAACCTTGGTGTCCCAAGTCCTTTATCTGACAAGGGTGTGGGGAGCTGGGGAGAATCCATCACAGTAGCCAGGTATGGTGCAGCACGTCTGGGAAGCTGAGGAATAAGGATCACAAATTCTCAGCCCACTTGCCCCACTTTTTTTTTTTTTTTTTTGTACCAGGAATGGAACTCACGACCTCGAGCTTGCCCGGCAGGCGCTGTGCCGCTACTAAATCCCCAGCCCTCAGCCCACTTAAACACAACAATTTAACAACCATCTCAAAAAAAATGGGGCAAGGGGATGTGGGGACGTAGCTCAGTGTAAAGGCCCTGGGTTCAACCCACAGTACTGAGAGAGAAAAAAAGCAGGTGCTGGTGTTGAGAACCGTCCAGACAAAGGCAGAAAGTGCCTGGCAGCTGCTTTGTCACCAGGAACAACGCGAAGCCCGCGTGGGAGCATGTGGGCAATAGCACTGGTGGCCGTCCATGCCCGATCTGACGCTTCTGCCACAGCCGTGACAGAAGCTGTGCAAGGGGTGTCCCATGCCAGAGCGGCAGACCCTGCCAAGCTAGGTTGATCTTTCATAAAGATCCAAGGAAGAAAGATCAAAATGAGGGCCGGAGATACAGCTCAGTGACATAAGCACCTGCCTGGCAAACACAAGGTCCTGAGTTTGATTTCTGGTACCAAAAAAAAAGAAAGAAGAAAAAAGAAAGCACAATGGAAGAATTGGGGAGGGCATGTCACTTTTTTTCTTTTTTGTACTGGGTATTGAGCAGAGGGCCTTTGCGCTGAGCCATGTCCCCAGCCTTTTTTTTTTTTTTTTTTTTTCTTTAAAGAATTTATTTAACTGAAATGGACTTCCACTTATTTAACTGAAGTGACTTCCATTTATTCTGATACATCTTTTCCTCAGGGTGACTTACAGGATCTTCAACCCAGTATAAATATTTCATAAATATTTGGCCATTTTGGTGTATACCTATGCAATACATCAGCAATATTTTTCAGAAAGAAAAATACTGAAGAGCAAAGACCTGATACAATTAACTAGGTAGAATGAAAATCTGCTCTATATATTTGTTTCTGAGGCACCACACACTTGTTCAACTAAGAAAACAGGGTGTTACAGATGTAAAGAAAACATCCTTATAACACAGGATGATTTTTTTTTTTGTTTGTTTTGTTTTTTGTTGTTGTTGTTTTCTTCCAGTACCAGGAATTGAACTCATGACCTTGTGCTTGCCAGGCAGGCGCTGTGCCATTGAGCTAATCCCCAGCCCCCTTTTTATTTTTAAGTAGGGCCTAGAACATTTAGCCACCATTTAGGTGCTGAATGGCAGAGCTCCATCTCCAGCTTATGCCATGAATTCATAGGGAACAGGTTCCAACAACTCAGGCTCCTTCCCATTGGTTCTCACAAAGTGTGTTTCTCTGGGCAAGCTGGGCTGGCACTTCAGTTGAACCCAGGTACCTTTCTCTGTGGCTTCCTTCCTTTTCTGATCATCTTCCTTGATACATTTCAGGAAGCTGTCTCAACTCTTTGAGTGTTTAATATGCTCAGTACCCCCATTAATCCGCTTGGCAAGTATCTTGCCCTTCACTTGCTTGTTTACATCAGTGCCAACAGTACACTGTGTAACACTGTAGACTCTTCCAGCTTTGCCACAGTAACATTTGTGAGTGTTCCCTTTTGCACAGTACCGACTCCCTTGATGTCTACAGTATCACTTTTTGTAGAGTCTCATGTGTGGCCAAAGAACCCCATGGGGTTTTTCTTTTTTTCTTTTTGAGACAGGGTCTCACTATGCAGTTCACGCTGGCCTTGAGCTCACTTTGTAGCCCAGGCTGGCCTCAAACTCTCAGTGATCCTCCTGCCTCAGCCTCCCAAGTGCTGGGATTACAGGCATGCACCACAACCCCATGTTTTCTTTCTTTTGGTCGGCGGGGGGCTTTTTTCCAGTAGCAGGAACCGAACTCATGACCTTGCGCTTGACAGGCAGGCACTGTGCCGCTGAGCTAAATCCCCAGCCCCAACGCCATGTTTTCTAAAAGGCCTAGAGAACAGGTACCTGATTCCCCTCCTCTTCCCCTTTGTTCATCATTTTGGCAAATTACTGGAAGATGGTTGTCTCCATAGCAACTGTCTTTAAAAAAAGAAAGAAAAGAAATTTTTGCCTATCTGGCCCGCAGGCTGGAGGGTCAAGAGTGGGAGTGGCCCAGGGCAGGCCCTAGCCTGGGGTTCTCAGCTGGGGCCCAGGAGCCACTGCTGGGCATTGCTTTGTTACAAGTGCTGGCCCCAGCTCCTACCAGAACCCAGCAGACTGGTGTGATGCTTTTCAGACTACTGTGAAGTTTTCAAGAGTTTCCTTATCTGCATTTTTTTTTTAACTTTTTTTTTTTTGAGACAGGGTCTCGCTATGCACTTCATGCTGGCCTTGAACTCACTTTGTAGCCCAAGCTGGTCTTGAACTCACAACAATCCTCCTGCCTCAGCCTCCCAAGTGCTGGGATTACAGGTGTGAGCCACCTGGCCCTATCTGCATTTCTACAGCAGACCATTAGCAGCCAAAGGAAATAAACACATCTTTCCTGGTTATTCAGGATTCCTGTGCTGTGCAGGGTGAGTACTGTAAATGATGGAAACTGGCACAGTACGGCATGGAGGGAAGTTGACTGGCCATGTGAAGTTGGACACCACCTGGCGTCTAAGAAGCAAAGCATGAGGAAGGGACTTGTGCTGTGCAGATGCCCCTTGGGATGGGAGGTGGTCACAGAGTAGGTCACTTCCCATGGCCCTGTAGACTATGGGGTGTCCCTGTGGCTGAACCAAGGGGCCCCCGGGCAGCGCCTGACGGAGACTGAGAGCGTGGAGTGCCCACAGGGCTGTGGCTGTGCCCCGCACTGAGGGCCTGAGCCGGGGTTGGCACAAGGCTCCAGAACCACCTGCGAGTGGTCACAGGGCACTGGCCCTGCCGGTCACTTGTCCCAGACCCCCTAGCGCTGCCTCTGCTCATGGCTCCTCAGCCTTCCTGAGGGGCCCCCAGCCACCCCAGGTGGCCCATACAGATGTGGCCCAGCCACCTTCCTACCGAAGACCACACAGAGCAGCCTGTCCTTTCCACTCCAGGCACAGAGGTTTCCCACTTCTGGCAGGCGCATGGCAGTTCAGTATGAAGCTCAGCACTTGAGGTGAGAGTGAGGGCAAGACAGGGACAGCATTTCAGACATGGAACACTTGGCGGAGCTGGCCGTGCACACCTGCAGGCCCTGATGAGCAAAACACAACAACCACAAACTCTCGGGTGTCCCAAGTGTCCTGAGAAGGCAGAACTGTGTTTATTCAACCACATAAAATGCATATAGGAAACTTCTCTTTAGGAGCTGGTGGCCTGCACTCAGCATTGCACAGAAAAAAATATACGACTTTCAACACAGACCTAAATACCTTCACATTTTAAAAATCAGAATTCTCTACACAAGTTTTAAGCTGGCAGAATTCAAGTTCTGGGTTTTCATATATAGCTTTC